GCCGACGCCATTAAAAAGAAGGATGTAGTTCCTTGAGAATACCCAATATAAAACAGTTTTTTAAAGTTTGTTACATTTAAAACGTAATCAATAATAGCCGGAAGATCATACAGGCCGACTTCTTCAAAGCTAAAGTTAACGAGTGAGTTGTAGCTTTTTAAAACATAGCTTACCTGTAATCAAAGAAACTTCTTTTGTTCCGAATTGGGTCGAGAGTTCGGTGCTTCTTAGACCATTTGGTGCCCCTGTTGTTTACGAGCCACACGTCGAATCCTTCGTCAGCCAAAATGTACCCCAAGCTTAGAGCTGGGCCCGATGTTAAATACACCGAGTGGGTGTTTCCTATTCCTGGCACTAAAAGAACTGGAAATCGTGGCTTGGAAGTTTGATTCTTTCTTCCGTAAGGTATACGAAAATTGTTTAATATGTAGCCATCTTCAGTGACAACTTTGTGAATTTCTACCGGATATCCATAGTTTTGTATTGTTTCGCTCTGAAAGGAAGTGAGGTTTTTGAATAGAGCAACAAGCAGAGGAATAATAAATTTCTTATCAAAATGCTTCTAGTAGGTACCTACATATTCGGCAACGCTTCAACACAACATTGGAACGTTCAAAGCAACCTCACAAGCAACCTCACAAATACCACCTCAAGAACAAAGAAACACCATAAATACAAGTAACGCAACATGCACTACAAAGACAGGTCCACCCAATAAAGTTACACGCCCTAGTACAGTTAAAAAACACATAACTCCTTCTTCACAGAAACACACCACGTTATCACAACCAACTCGTATTCAACCCAAACGCAAAAACCTAAACAGCACTACTAGCTCACAAAATACTGTAATATCTCCACCAATAACCCAAGCAACAACACAAATACAACCCCAAGAACAAAGAAACACCATAAATACAAGTAAGGCAACATCTACCACAAAGACAGGTCCACCCAATAAAGTTACACGCCCTAGCACAGTTAAAAAACACATAACTCCTTCTTCACAGAAACACACCACGTTTTCACAACCCACTCATATTCAACCCAAACGTAAAAACCTAAACAGCACTACTAACTCACAAAATACTGTAATATCTCCATCAATAACCCCAGCAACAACACAAATACAACCTCAAGAACAAAGAAACGCCATAAATACAAGTAAGGCAACATGCACCACAAAGACAGGTCCACCCAATAAAGTTACACGCCCTAGCACAGTTAAAAAACACATAACTCCTTCTTCACATAAACCCACCACGTTATCACAACCCACTCGTATTCAACCCAAACGCAAAGCCAAAGAAACACACAATAAACTCTATTTAATAAAATTACAGGAATTATTATAATGGTATTTTTGTTTTGTTTTCCTCTTTCCTGATAGCGTTGACTATTGTGGCCATGTGTGATTTTTTTTTTTTTTTTTTTTAGGACCCTACATAACTTCACCAGACACAGACACAGACACAGACACTGATCGTTACTTGATTTTAATCCGTGTGATTAGTTAACCAGGCTAGACCTGAGTTCTCACAAGAAACACCGACCATAATAATAATAATAATATTTATTTGCAAAATGTACATAATAACATAAGCACAGGAAGCAACATAACGTCAAATACAGTAAATACAAGAAGCTGGAAGACGAAGACTCAACGATGGAGAAATTCTTCTACACTATAAGGTTCAATATTTAACACTAGGTGGTGCACCAATTGTTTGAAATGTTTTACGTTTTTCACATTTCGAATGTCAAGAGGAAGTTTGTTGAACATTTTAATGCACGCGTAGTAGCACCCTTGTTCAGTCATTGACAATTTATGCCCTGGATAGTTATATAATGCCGCATTTTTACGAGTATCGTAATTGTGACTTATTTTGTTTAAATTGAAGATATTTTTATTTTTGAATATAAACAACCAGATTTCGTAGATGTAGAGTCCGAATGAAGTTAGAATTGCATGATTTTTGAACACTCCCCTACACGATTCACGATATTTTGTTTTGTTCTCATTTAGAAGTTTGTTAGTAACAAAATAGGATATAACTTCACGTAACGCTCGCTCCGCCTTTTGTTTGAGGTTTTCATGTTGATACGAGTGATCCAGTATTACTGGATCCAGTGATCCAGTATTACTGGATCTGTGTACAGGGTGTCCCATTAATAATGGTCACAGGCCGTATCTATGGAACCGTTAATTCCACAGTTTCGGGAAAAAAATTTTGTTAACAAAGGGGGGCAAGAGAAATCGCTGGAAATTATTTTCAAGTTTCTACCTTCGCCGCTAGAGGGCGTACGATTCATTGTTAAGTAGAAAAATGACGTTTTTTCTAAAATATACCCAACAAACATGCATAAAAAATACATGCATAGCAATCTTGTATCAATTTTGCATCATTTTGATGCAGCACATATTGCTGAATGATATAATTATTATATGATATTATCAAATAAAATGAAAAAGTGAAAATATCATTGAAAACCGCATTTTGATATCTGTTTCCTAGACAGAGATATGGCGAAAATGCGAATATTCACAAATTTTAATTGCAATATCTATATTCATCTAAGTTGGATTTGAAACAAATGAACATTTCTCCGTAAATGCGCGAGAGTACTTGAATTTGAATTATCCTGGCAAATGGATAGGAAGAGGAAGTATTTTTCCATGGCCAGCTAGGTCACCCGACCTAACTTGCTTAGACTTCTATTTGTGGGGAAGGATAAAAGACCTAGTCTTTCAAACAAGGCCAACTACAAGAGACGACATGGTGGAGAGAATTAGACAAGCAGTTCATAGCATATCTATGGTTGAAATTGAAGCAGCTGTTTTCTCTACTCAGCGGATCGAAAATGAGGGCAGACAGTTTGAACATCTACGTTAATTATAATTACTATTTTTTTTATTATTTAATTCGTATTTGACATAATTATGGGTTGCTATGTGTTCATTTGTTTCAAATCCAACTTAGATGAATATAAATATTGCAATTAAAATTTGTGAATATTCGGATTTTCGCCATATCTCTGTCTAGGAAACAGATATCAAAATGCGGTTTTCAATGATATTTTCACTTTTTCATTTTATTTGATAATATCATATAATAATTATATCATTCAATTTGAAATTTTCAAAAAAAACCTGCAAAGTTTATGTTAATGTCACATCGCGCCCTCTACCACTCATCACATTTACTCTATTGACTCTATTAGTGTAAAATCTGATTCCACGAAGACAGCTCTTTCCAACAAGACCTATTATGTGAAAATCGGTTAACCTAAACCGAAGTTACATTCGATTCCTTAAATAGATGTTCCCCTTCCCCTACCCCTCATATTTTATGAGCTAGAGCAATATGTGTTGCATCAAAATGATGCAAAATTGATACAAGATTGCTATGCATGTATTTTTTATGCATGTTTGTTGGGTATATTTTAAAAAAAAAGTCATTTTTCTACTTAACAATGAATTGTACGCCCTCTGGCGGCGAAGCTAGAAACTTGAAAATAATTTCCAGCGATTTCTCTTGGCCCCTTTTGTTAACAAAATTTTTTTCCCGAAACTGTGCAATTAACGGTTCCATAGATATGGCCTGTGACCATTATTATTGGGACACCCTGTACAATATCTTCACTCTTGTCAGGTATTGGTTTGACCATGAATCTTCATGTAGTTAACAAAACATTGGAAACAAGTACACACATGTTGTGCAGATAAAGCGAATTTTTTTAAACCGAAATAGCTTAGTAAATTGTGGGGTTAGTTAGTTAGTAGCATGCTATATTTATGGACGTTTACCTTCTTGCTAGATGATTAATGGGGAAGGCCGCTTTGCATACATTCTAAATCTACGCCATATGGTGCAAGTAGAATCAAGCCCTTAGTGAAATTCACCCATGTTCCACTTGCGCTTTATGGGTACCAACCCCTTTGCTACACTTCGTTTTCAAGAAATTCGCTTTGACTTCACCAATCGATATTGTTGTGTAAACTACACGGGGGTGTCCTTTCTCTAGGTTGAAATAATGTCGAAAATGAGAGCGAGCCACCCTCTAGTGAAGAATGCACGTGCGGTCAACGTAATTTCCGCTTTACGCATTGGAAGTAGTAGTCGGAACATCCTCTATGCAAAATGTTTCAATTTATTTGATACGACCTAGGCGGAATTTGGGTTGCGCATGCGCAAAACAAATTTGTACGTCGGCATTAGTTTTGCTCTTAGGTACATCCTTAAAAATATGTACCAATTTTGAAAGCGATAGGACGTTTCGAAATAAAATTATGGACGTTTCCTTAACTAGGTGCTTTTTGGAGTTTAGCACACAGACGCCATATAGATATGTTCAACAATTCCGTCCGTTTGTCCGTCACACGTACTCTTTCTAAACCACTGAACCAATTTTGGCGATATAGGACTCATTTGAAAGGGCTTGGTCCAAGGATTCAGTGCATACCCATATTTTTGGTTTTGTGCATGCGCAGTGTCAAAAATTTGGTTTAACGCATGTGCGATGCTAACTTTTTTATTTATGAAGATATTTAAATAAAACTTTATATGCAAACACTACGAATATATGTAAAATGAACGACATTTTCAAAATGTTGTTTTGCGCATGCGCAATGCCAACTTTCTTATTTATGAAGGCATTTAAATGAAATTTTATACATAGGCATTTGGCATCCAGTTGCAAAATTTGGTTTTGCGCATGCGCAATAGCAACTTTATTATTTACGAAAGCAGTTAAATGAACAAAAGAACCAGCAGGTTGGATGAAATTCAATGAGATTCTCATTGAATTTCATCCAACGTGCTGGTTCTTTTATTTAAAAAATGAAATCCAAAATACAAGAGTTCATCGACAAAACAGTTAAATGAAATATCATATGTAGGCATTTTGAATCAAACTAAAACTAATACCGGCTTCAAAATTACTGTTTACGCATGCTGTATGCTTTATTTATGAAGGTATTCAATAAAATTTCTAATGTGGACAATGCGCAATGTTATTTACGAAAGCATTTAAAAGTGTTTCATGAAGAGAATGGGAGGAGGAAAATACGCTCTCGTCATTTATGTTTGCATAAGGACTTTTTAACTTGTTTTACCTTACGTTACTGCCGAAAAAGGAGGTAAACAATAGTTGCTGGGTTTTTGTACATATTTTATTTTGCGATAATCCGCACTTTATTCTCCACTTGCTGACTAGGTTTCTGAGTGTTACTTACGCAAGTATGATATAATAAATTTATTATGATAATATGAAATCAGTGAACTGAAAACATTAGTTATTTTCATATGAGAATAGTAAATCAAGGTTTATGTTAACGAGTGAGATGTTTACTACCGAAACGTAGCTATTTTATACTATTCTTTTTTCTATTAGAATACCTACCACAGAATTTGATATAGGTACAGCAAAAGTCGATCACTTGGATTTGTTTGATGTGTTTGTTTAACAGATAGATGTCGGTGTTACTAGGCAACATTGCCACTCCAGTCCAGTCTCGTCGTAAAAAGATTCACGGCCGGTTGCACAAAAAAAATAATCCGGGATTATTGTTTAATCCGGTATTAAGACATATGATTGGCAGTAGGCAGTAGGCAGCCAATCAAATGTCAAAATTCTTGTTTATTAAACTCAGATTTGGCCAATAATGTAGGATTTTGATTATAATTCGCTTTCCTGCAACCGGCCGTTAGTCTGGTAAAATACGATCTAGCACTGATTGCTATATAGAGTATGAAATAATATTTATTTACATAAAAATCAGGAAATTGTCACATTACTGGCGAGAAAATATTGAAGTACGAGGTCCATTTAGTACCGAATCAAGTAGTGTCATTTTACTGAAGAGTGTTTTCCCAAAATTGTTATTTTTAATATAAGATTTCAGTTTTCATATAGGATCAGTGTGTCAGTAATGACAGGAATCATTAGACATTACCAATGTGACAGACGATGGAGCAGGAAAAGGAGTCTGGTAAAGTGACAGGCAACAGGAAAAGTAGTCAGGGAAAGGGTTACTGCCACTGTCATAGAAAATTCCAGACATAAAATACGCACGAAAATGAAGGATTCATATGACGATTTCTAAATGGATTATTTTAGCCTACTACTAGAATTGATGACCAAGCAACGGTTTCATCGTGGACATTTAAATGTTGCGATTTCTTTGAAGAAATTTATGACGATAATGTTATTTTGACACCCTGTTACGCTATTATAATGACACTAACATAAAGCACAACCAAAACATACCGGATTCATTGAAGCGTGGCAGAAAACAGCAAATTGGGCACTTAAAAATGTAGCACATAAGATCATGAACCAAATTGTGTTCATCATGAAACACTAAACTAAATTACGGTGATTACCTCCATGAATTGAACATCGATTGATGCGGAAGGCGTTTTATTTAAATATTTGGCCTTCATTAATAAAATAACTGCCTACTTACCGTCAAAAGGTTTCCCATCCATGGTCCTTGACGATTCCTAAATTCTGAATAGGTATGTGTAAGTATTTCAACGTAAGCGACTGAATAATGATTGGAAGACAAATTGCGTACACTGAACTAGGGAGGTCTTTATTGGGCTAGTCGGAAGTAGGTAACCGAATTAAATATTTAAACTTTTGATGAATAAATGTATTTTTGCCAACTCGGGTTGTGCTCAAAATTCTGGGTAGAAAAGGAACCGCAACTTATTGCATTTTCATGTACTCTCGCTTAGACTGAATACATTTCTTCATTCTTTTACAACATTTGTCAAAACACTCAGAGAGCTTAGTTTTGAGAAGTTCCTCAAATAAGCGACGAAAGACTTCAACCATCGCATTTACTTCAAGAAACCACTTGACGACATAGCAGTTTGTCGAAAACTGAGGAAGACAAACTTTAGTATACCGATCGCACTGTTCGTTTTTCGATCCTCAAGTGGAAATATTGCAACACGATTAGTTTATCTGAAGAAAGCAGCTACCATTTTTTGTTCGTACCTACTCTTTCCTCGCATTTGTTCATTTGCCCATTTTCAAAGGCCCAAACTGTTGATTACTGTTTGGTTTCAGGATCGTAGTTGTAAATTCACATTCAGTAATAATATTGAACACCTGTTTTGAAGATCATACATCGGCTCAACTAGATTTCTGTCAGCATTAACGTGTTCTGCACATTGTCGAGACGATGCAGGTCTTCCAGATCACTCATTTTCTAAGGTGCGTCGTTCACGGAACCAGTAGCTAATTGTGCATAATGAAAGACAATTAATCACGAAAATTAGGTACAAATTTGCATGTTATTAAATTAATTAAAAATAAGACGTTGCGTAACTAACTAACATCAAACTACCGTAAATTATATTATAAATTCACATGAATAATAATTAATGCCTCGTTTGTATTTGTTTATATTTCATTCCATTACTCCATGAACCTAAATTGGAGTAGTTCAGACAAAATTGTGCTGGATTGGTAGCTGCAAAATTTTACTGCATCTTGCTTGCTTACCTACTACTACAGAATTGTAGGGTTTCGCGTAGGCCAGACAAGTGTACTAAACACCGCCACTTATATGTATGTTCGCTTTTCGATAAAGAAAGAACTAGCCGCATTCGGCACACCACTGACTATTCGTCTGCAGCACAGTAAAGAATGTAGCTGAGATTTGTGAGTAATTTCAGGAACATTCTATACTGCGGTACAGAGGCCAAGCCGTCTGTACCGTGGTAAACAATGTATTTACGCAGCCGGGGAAAGAGTACCCACGCCGTTAGTTTGGATAGGGGTGATCTAGTCGAAGTATTCAGCAAGTTAAAAAAACGAACATTGGCAGTAGTCATGTAATAATTTTGAGTAGATACATACAGGCGATCTGAACAGAGCATTCAGCAACACAAAACAGCGAACCAAGAATTTTAAGGGTGTTATGTTTGACTAATTGAATTTTTAGTATCCTATTCTAGAGATTCTAGAGCGAAGAGTAATGTCTTTTATGTCTTGGAATATTTCTTAACTATTTCTATCAATTTACTATGTAGAACAGGAACAATATTCTTTGCCCATTGAAAATCCAAATGACTGTAATCCTTAATAAACTGTTTCTCTACTAGGTTTGGCAGTTGAGCTATCAGTAGCTCTACATCCTAAACAAGCAGAAATTAATTACCGATTAAAATTCAAGCGAAGGGTACTTACAGAGCGAGTGGAGAGGCCGTCCGAACCTCCATAGTACAGTGCGATGGGTGCAGTGATTTCACTAATGTTGTACTTTGGTGGAGTTTTGGTACCATACTTCTTTGAATTTTTTTCTACTCCGTAATCATACATTTGAAATTGCTCTTTAATCATAAATGATTGATCCTTTAACTACAATTTAGTGGGTTACCTGATATAGCCAATTGAATGTAATGGAAAAGCATCTTCGTTGAAGTTCCAGCGGGAGATTCACTAGTTATTGCTGGAAGTGCAGTCTGTAAAGCTAGCACAATATTCAGTAAGTTGATGCGTTGATGGTTACCGTGTTAAAATTAGGACTATATCCTCCAAGAAAGTAAACGATGGATGCACAAAATATTTGAGTCACAGCATAGTCGTTGCATAGCAGGCTACCTAATGAAGCTAATAAGGGTGAGTACGGAAGCAGTTCGTACACTCGATTCTTTTCGGCTAATTTCTAAAAAAATATAGAGAGTACCAAGAAATAAAAAAATTCTTTTACCTGGATTTTTGGTAGATTATACTTAAAAAATGAAATTAAGGGGTTTTGTACGTTGAAAACGTAGGCGACGGGTGCCAACGCGATCATTAATGCTATCTTATCATTGTACTGAGGTTTTGTGGCAGACATAGTAAAAAATGAGATAGTTCCTTGAGAATGACCAACGTAGAACAATTTGTTGAAATTTGTCCGTTTCAGGATATAATCTATGTTCGCAGTAATATCATATATTCCAACCTCATGAAAGCTGCAAACATTAGTACTAACATTAGTACCTAATAAGAGCGGAATTAATACGCTTTAGTCTTTACACTAATGGCATGTCGATAAGTTAATCAAGAGGATGTGCATACGGCTATACGCCCCTTCTAAATGTGAATTACATACAATACACTTTGATTGATAATACATAAAAGCATTGAATAACGATCTTAATTTTTTACCCAACGATAATAGTCAATTATAAATTTAAATACCACATTAACGCAAAATGCAAAATTTTGAGACACACAGTTCTTGAACCATTGATATATTGAAAAAATATGTTCGTGTTGTTTCCACTATCTTAATTTTCTTAGCTCATCAATTCTTATTGTCATTATTAAGGATCCTGGAAGTTGCAAGGTTATTAAAAAAGGTTATTAATAATAAATGGTGGTTGAAAAAGTGATGGATCCTTCGATATTTCGTTGTATCGGTTTAGACACAGTTTTTCAAGTTCCCGATTTACTTTAAGTCCTATAATTTTTGTTCCAAGTTCTTGATAATCAATATCGTCCTACCTTAATGGCCAAAATACCCGTACACCATTTCAACATGATCAGCCGGACAAAAATTTAAAGCTATAAGAAGTATCTGGGGATCTAACTAATACTTATGGCGAACACAGACCAATGGGCGGACAAAAGGACGGAAAACCATACACAGCTATAAAGGATATAAATACCCGGTAAATGAAAATGTTAGATATATGGGGCTGAAATTCTTTAACATGATGAATAGATGGCTTCATTTTAAATCATAACGCAAGCATTTCATAAACTAGCCCTTCAAGTTAACACCTAAAATTAACTGGCGCAATATCCTACACTATTAATAAATACGAGTATACCATTAATAAAACCGTTACTACCTGTAGTCAAAAAATTTCTTTTCATTTCGAACCGGATCCAAGAATTTATGCCTTTTCGACCACCTTGTCCCTCTTGTGTTTGCAAGCCAAACGTCATAACCTTCATCCGCCAACATAAATCCCAAACTAAGTCCAGGACCTAAATTTAAGTAAATTAGCGACGTGCAAAGTAGTGCTGGCACGAGAAGAACGGGGAACTGTGATTTTGACGTTACATTGAGTTTTCCATGAGGTATTCGATAAGTTTCCAATATGTATCCGTCTTCAGTTTCAATCGTGTGGACCTCCAAGGGGTAGCCATATTTTTGTATAATCTCCTTCTACAAAAAAGCCAAAGTGAGTTTACTCTAACGGTAATTGAATTAAACTTACAGAGTTTAATCCAGCATCTGGGTGAACGTAATCAGTTGTGTATATAGCCATGCACAATTGTGAACAAATCACTGACAATAACGAAACTATCGTAATTTGCATAATGCACCCGTAGATGATAGTGTTTTGTAGTTGTAAACGCTTTAATGTAATAATCTCTAGTGATCTTATACTTTGACCTCTATGATTAAGCAGGTAATATTCTCACTTACCTTCAAAAATTAGGTTTGTATCATTATAGTAGTTATTTAAATGTATGCATTCACAAAAACGTGAGTTAGGAACACCTAAATCTTTGTACAGGGTGTAAAAGGAATTAAAGGGAATTTTTTCAGGAAAAGGTATTTGGTGTACAAATTTTTGCTAGCGGTTTACCCCTCGGTCTAACATTTATGGCATGATTGAGAAATCAACCCACTGCCATTACGGAAACCTCAATGAAGACTTAATTTTTGTCAATACGACAAATTCAGCAGCCTTAACCGCCTTCCCCCAATCCCAAAGAATATTATTCAACGGATTTTTAATTAACACCTAGCACAATCCTAGCCACGAAGAGAAAATTTATTATGAGCACTTTTATTTGGTTTCGATTAAACGCACAGATGATATAAACACGATATAAATTTATTCGACAAAAATCAATCAATAAAGCTGTAAGAAAGAAAGTCACTCAGGACTCGATAACAACCACGCACGCACATGCAATTGATTGAAACAAATGAAATTTAAAGTAAGTCATATATCCGGTCACAAAAACACCAAACTGATGATACTTCGGGATCTTCACTACTTTCACTTACTTCTTGGTATAATTCTTTACATATTGACATATAATATAAAAAATAGTTTCGAGTAATAATAAAAGTATATTGCTTTTTATGCATACACACTAAATAGAAGAGCATAACAGCAACGCACCTTTTCTTGTTCTGGTAAAAGAATCCAAGGTCTAAAGCCAGATGTTTGACAGTTTTTATGTTTCTACCGTTCAGGTCACTCCGACACTCCGTTCTGCAGATATTTGCACTGAAAGTTTTGAGAGCACCAGGAGATGTGTCTCGCTCAAATGCTTGTCCTTTGTAAGTGCTCTCTTCCGACACACGTTTTTGAGATACAATGCGATCAAAAATGAGTTGCTGTCGAGTCACCCTTGGAATTTTTGTTTGCATGGGAAATCGGACTTAACATGAACTTCCAAAGGCGAATCGACAGCAACTCATTTTTGATCGCCCCTCGTTGTTAAAGTTTTGACATCACCAGTGGATATATTTCTTTCAGACTGCCCAATTGCCTTTTGTGAGTACTCTCCTCTGATATTCCGCTCTTGAGATATGGATAATTATAACAGATCACGATAAGAGATGGAGAAGGAACGCGGTGGGTAAAAATTAATTCCTTTCGTAGAGACCTTTCAGTAGCGTAACATGAAGGATTAAATTATTATTATTAAGTTTGAGCCAAATTAGTCGTCGAATGTAAAAATTATGCACGTTTTACTTACAGAAACAGCATCTCGGCAAATAATTCATTAGGGAGTCCCCCCTTGACACAATAAAATTTGGCCGTCTGGCACACCTTCAAGATATAGGATACCTATTACCAAACATTCCTGGACTCTCCCCTCAAAGCAGTTGCGGCGTAAAGGCGGAGCGGCGAGGGCTGTTCGCTCGGGCGCCGTCACCTCTGGGGGCGCTTCTCGAAACTTCAGTTAATAAAAAATTAGTTTTGTTATACAATGAGCAAAAGTAGATTAAACAGTTTTGCAATGTTATCCATATAAAAAGAAACCTCTCTAAAAATCAATTATATTGACGTAGTAGGCAAATTTTATGAAATAACGGCACATCGTCATGTCACAAGGTTTGCTTGTTTTCGATGTTTTTGGGGGAGATTTTGAGCAAACTGCAGTGGCGTAACTAGGTATTTTTCGAAGCGGTGCCGGATCAGGTTTTGGCGCCCTACCAGATTTTGCCGCCTAATCAGTTACCATTGCGCTCTAATTAATAAAACACGGTACATTTTTGAGAGAAACTTTACACGAAATTTTAACAGCACTGCACCCTTTCGAATTTACACACAAATTTTGCATACTTACATTTTAGAAAGATGCTTTGAATAACGAAATCTTTCACTGAATGAAGAATAGAAATACATTTATTTATAGTGTTTCCAATTCTCGCGTCAAATTTAACTATGGCATGGGGCACAAGTCGTAGAAATGATTGCGTGCAAATGCTGGTCACACTAATACAGACTATTGTATAGATCACAAATAAAGTATTATTATTATTTTAAATCTGCAGCCTTTTCCTACCGCTGTAACTTTGTACTACAAGGGCCATCCAGAAAGTAACAGACGTTTTGAAATAAAAAATTAAGAAAGTGTAATAAACAACTTTTATTATATACATTTGGAAGCTACACTATTAGGATATTTTTCAACACAGTCGCCATTCATATTGAGGCACTTAAGATAGCATGGTACAAGTGTTTTGATTCAAACTTTGTATACATCCGCCGTCTGTGGGGGCGTCGGAAGCGGGTACCGACAAAAGGAGTGTGGTAGCTCTCGACAAGATCTTACTAACGGTGGAGTCAAAACTTCAAACCCGAATTCCGGCCGAACGGGATGTCGGAGGTGGGACAAAATCTTATTGATTGTGGTTAATAAAAGTGCTGATCTGCCACACAAAATGCGCTGAAATCTCTTACATCTCACACAAAGACTTTGATAATTTTTTTTACTTTTTAACAATGTTCGGTTCATCCTAAAGGAGCGTAAATTTAGTTTTAATTATATTTCAGTGCACCCTGTAGTCGACTTTAGCAAAGTATTCGAATTTAACTGCCGTTCTTGTCTTTTATGACTGGTCTATACGGTACACCACGTACTGCCCATCCCGACTTAGTGCCCTCGATGCTTCAGCGCCTCCGGCGCGCCCTCCCCCATTCAAAGCGCGGTGCCGCGGCACCTTTGGCACCTACCTAGTTACGCCACTGGCAAACTGTAGTGCTGTATCTCAAAAAATAAGCACTCGACGGAAAGTATACAAATACCCCCTTACTAAGAGACTATTTTTACATAACGATTATTCCTTATTCCCACAAATAACTAAGTGATAAATCAAAAAGCCTGGGAGCCGAACTCTTTCATTACACACCTCTTTTGTTGCAAACATCTTCTTGACAACCGAAGATCACATTAGGTTCAATGGATCCCGCCCGCGGCAGGTGGGTTAGCGGTGCTTCGGACTCTGGCGGGACTTGTTCTTAAATAAAGACATCATTTGAATATGCTAACATTGTACATATACGAGTACAAATCTGTTAATATGGTGGCGAAGAGTGAAGAGGGGGGGGGGGGGTTTGGGGGCGCAACTGTGGGTGGGCCGACCCGGGCATCAGCGTTAGCTACTCCGCCACTGCCTCAAAGTAGTTTAAAATCACAGAAGTGGGTCCGGCGGGACGAACGAACGGACGGATGGGCTGACAGGCGGACGATCGGACAGACAAACTGCAAATAGTACATTTTAATTCTTAAAAAAAGGAGTTAACATTTTTTCTACACCAAGACTAACTGTCTTTCACAAAAAATGGTTAATAAAAATCTCCTTATCGCAAGACCGGATTTGGACGAGACAATTCTGATCTTGATAATGCTTTAATTTGGGTTGTTGGACGACGCCTTGAGGTAGGCAATGTTTGCCTTCTTTTTGGTGTAGGTGTACTGTCTAAGCAAATGAAAAGGCTATTTTACTTACAATGCATATGAGACTAAATACCTACCTTCCACATTACTTTTTCTTTTCCCACTTCCTTTTTCATTTGAATGAATTAAATTAGAAGTAATTGGTTTCTGTAAATCGGATCCATGTTATATTCTGAAAACAAGTAAGTAGTTTATAACAAATAATTTAGAGAAATTACAAACATAACAATATGAGAAAATAGGTCAATACTTACGTCCTCATCGTCGCTTAAATGTAATGATTCATACACAACATCTATATTATTATCTTGTACGTCTTCTGAAATATCTAAATCCACAGGCTACAATCACAATACAGTTCTATAAAAATGTAATGATTTTATATAGAAACTACCTCTACATTTTCATCTTGTTCTACATCACCATCGAGATCATTTTCCAATCCATACACAGTTTTCGTATTCATAATCGAAAGGATAATGTCATGACAAGGTTCTTTTTTTGGTATGTTGATTTGGCCTCTTCCTGTCGCAAATACTTCCTTTTTTTCTTCTGCTGCAAGTTTTCTGACTTCTCGTTTACGATTTTCATAATAGTACATTATATATCAAGGTAGAGAAGTCCACTATTATTGCCTGAGCACCAAGATTACATCTCGAGGCGCTTGCGCCGAGGGGTGTAAGGTGCGAAGGCAATAATAGACTTCTCTACCGTGGTATATATACTATTTTTTCACTACTAGCACTTGAAATCCTCTAAATTAACATATTATATTGATAAGAGAGTTAACGGTTGGACAGAATTGTTTGTTTCTTAATTTAACATGTCAATCAAGTACGTGAAAGTACAAGTCAAACAGGCCGTATTTTGTTCTGTCATTGAGATTTTTCAAAGAGTAATTTCGTTCGAATTTTTTCAAAATGTGATAATTTTAGGTATGTAATTTCTCTGGAAATTGCGAATGGTGGCAATTATTCGTTTTAGAGAACTTGTCTAAACGTTCATTGAGCAAAATTTCGGGTTGTGTTTTCTGAAAGTGACAGCGTGACAGTTCTCATTATTGACTACTAGTTAATAATAAAAAATTATTAACCACTTTGAACAAATGCCGAGAAAGCCTACTTTACAAGTGGAAAAAAGGTTAATAATCATGTCATCAGACGCTAGTAGTGAAAAAAATCTTTTTAGCACTTCAGGTGCACGGTAAGTGGTACTCATGGCGTTCACTTCCTGGGAAATTTTCTCCCACTGTCTCTGTTTATGTAAATTAGATGTTTGGCCTGTTTTTTTATTTTCTAGAACACCTTTATATTTGGCACAAATATTGGCAATCATTAACTTTTCATCCGCACTAAACGTTGGGCATCGATTTCTTTTTTTGGTCGGAGCTTTCATTATTAACCAAATTTACTAAATTTAACAAAGTTGATGATTTTAAGCTCAAATATAAACT